CAAAGTGTAGCAGAACCTTGCTACATCATAACATGAGGTTGCTACAACAATAGCTCTCAACATCACACTATTGGATCAAACAACTTTCTTTAGGATTGCAGTCGGATACTTGTTGCAGTACCCTTATCATATCAATATTGAGTACAAATCTAAGCATGGTATTAGACTTATCTTTCTTTCCATATAAGTATGATTGTATCAGTTGCTACAACAAGTTGCAACATTCTACAACTTTTTACTTCTCTTTGTTATGTTGTATTCTTTATAATCTCCTCTCATCTTAATGAAATAACATGCGTCATTTTGTCAAAAATCATTTAGATGTAACATCAAAAAGTGAAGTGAATAGTGGAATTGATAGCTATTGTGAAAGCAATTATTCACTTGCACAGTTGGCTTATTCTCCCAACTTTCACTCATACCCAAGCTAGGGTGATTAGTCCATCATCATTTTGCAACGAAATTTAAAGATATGAATGTAAATGACTTGAAAGTAAACTTATTGTGAAAACTGAAGAACTTTGCTGCAGAAATGTAAAGATCAAGAAAATAACCAAAAGATCAGAAACTAGATAAACTTGAGAGCAATAGAAGAGAGCAATTTGAACCATTTACATACTCTAAGCAAAGACACTACCGCTCCTTTTATACTCAACAAGGAGATAACACAAAGGGTAAAAACGTGTGGACTAAACAAACGACAACCCTTCCATGAAAATGTGTTCCTTGGTTGGAAAAAAGGAAATTCCATCAAGTCAACCCTAATATCACTTCACACATGAGATGGAACTCCAAAAGTTCAGGTCAAATCTTTTGTCTTTTATCATATTTGTCTTTATTGTATTGTCGCAACATCTCCGCGGCATGTTAAAGCGACTTCACTATTCATCCCAAAACTCACCAAAATAGACTATTTTAATGTTAAAACTCCAAAACAAGGAAAAATATAAAATCATAACAAAAAGGACTCAAACAATCCATTTAAGGATGCAAAACATAAAATAATAGTGGGGACATTTGTCAAAGTCATATATGATAACAATATATATATACATACATATATATATATATATATATATATTATATTATAATATATTATATTATATTATTTTTCTTAAAAGAAAATTAGAGAGAGTAAAAAGGACGTAAATGTCCTTTTAGAGTGTGTTTGGTATACAGACTACATGGGACGAAATGGGACAAAAAAATAGTCTCATGTTTGGCATGTCATGGACAAAAAGAGCATAGGACAAGGTGAGACTATTTATAATTTTCGTAGACAAATCTTGAGATTTTTTGTTCCACCAAAAAAGGTGGAACAACATGGGACAAATTACAAAATTGCTTTTATACCCTCAAATAAACCTAAACCTAAAGCAAAACAAGAGAACATACAACTTCCATCTCCATCGACAGCCTCCATCAGCTTTCAGCTTCCATCGTCTCCATCATCTTCCAGCTTCCATACATCGTCTCCATCGACAGCCTCCATCCATCCTCCATCGTCTCCATCGACAGGTTTCAAATCGATTTCAAATCCATCATCTCCATCGACAAGTACGGTTTCAAAGCTTGATTGATTTCACTTTTGCTTGTTACTCCATATTTTGACATTGCAAGCTTCAAGTAAAGATCGGTTTTAGGGTTTTTTTTGTTTTACATCTTTCCTCGAATAATTGTTTGATTGATTTCAATTTTTTTGTGTATATGGTTATATGGCATGATTTTAACGAGGACGATGATATGTATGTGTAATTGTTGCTAATAAGTGCAAAACCCTGATGGTAAAATTGATGTGAAAATTTACCAAGAATCATATAAAATGATCAGTGAATTCATAAACGAAAGAATGAGGTTTAAAGCAAAGTAGGAGGTCCTTTTTGATGTTGTTTGTGGCTCAATCATGCAGAAAGGGCAGTTCCTTTTGCCATGTTTTACCTTTGAAATTTCATTCAAGGTTTAAATTGATTTGTTACTTTGAACTTCAAACATTTATGATGTATGCTTACCAAGTTTTCGATTTCTCATTGTTTTTGCTTAACTATTATTTCTTCTGGGTATTTTGTAGTTATGGATCGGAATCACTTGGTTGTACTCGTTAATATATGGTATATTTACATTCAAATGCTCGTGTATCTGCTATCCCTTATGTTATGGTTAATTGAATTGGAGAATAGAAACAATGAAACAGAAACTTTGAACCAAAGAACATTCACGAGACTTTAAATTAGATCAATCAAAATACACCGTATTACACGCGAAAGTGATGTAAGTTGTATAAATGAGTTGCGAATGAATAGAAACGCTTTTTCAATTTTGTGTAATTTGCTTAAAACTCGTGGTGGATTAGTAGATGATGGTAATATGACAATCAAGGAGTAAGTTGCTATATTTATAAACATATTAGCACACCACTAAGAATAGAACTATCCAAGTTAGGTTCTATAGGTCGGGGAAACTATAAGTAGATATGTTCATCGAGTGTTGCGTGATTTATTGCATTTGGAAGACGTCTTGCTAGTCAAACCAACTCCAATAGAAGAGGATTGTACGAATTTACGGTGTAAATGGTTTAAGGTGATTGATTGTTTGCACTTTTTATACAATATATAATATAACATCCACTTTTTAGCTAAAATCTTTTTTATAGGGTTGTCTAGGAGCAATAGATGGAACTTGTATTGAAGTAATTATACCAGAGTCTGATAAACCTAGGAATCGAACAAGAAAGGGACATATCGTGACCAATGTATTAGGTGTTTCCACTCGTGATCGAAAATGTGTTTATGTTTTAGCTAAATGGAAAGGTTCAGCTACCGACTCTAGAGTTCTACGAGATGCTGTTACCAGACAAAATGGATTAAAAGTCCCACCCGATAATTATTATTTGGTTGATGAAGGATATATCAACGGTGAAGGTTTTTTTTTTTGGCACCATATAGGGAACTAGGTATCATTTACGAGAATGGGAAGATATTAGTCGTGCACCTGCTAATAAGGAGGAATACTTTAATATGAAGCACTCACATGCTAGAAACATTGTCGAGAGGTGTTTGGCATCATGAAGAAAAGTTGGACTATATTACGAAGTCCTTCTTTCTATGTGATAATATATCAAGGGAGAATGATCTTAGCGTGTGCTTTGTTGCATAATTTTATTAGGACATGCATGACCATTGATCATCATGAAAATTCAACAATCACTATTGAAGATATGTCTATTGTGGAAGACCACTCTTTACCGTCCGAGTTCATTGATGTTTTTGAGGCAAGCAATGAGCGGTCTCAATGAAGAGATGATTTGGCCGAAGCGATGTTTGAATCTTGGATGTTAAACCGTAATTGAGATTGGTATGGATTGGTGTTTGTAACGGAGTTATATTTGTCTTGTTTGTAACGGAATTATATTTGTCTTGTTTGCAATAAATTATATTTGTTTTGGTATTTGGTATTGTCTTCGTAATGGAATCTTGTTTGTTTGTCTTCGGTATTTCTTATTGTTTTGTATAAAAAAAATGGCTGATCGTCGTGGGTGGACAACGGATGATGAAGACTTGTTGATCAACAATTCTTCAAAGACATTGTCATCAACGGGGGTAGATGTGGCAATGGAAGCTTTAGGTCGAGTACTTATGATGCTTTTGTTTCAGAGATGAAGGAAAAAATTCCCGGTATTAGCATCACATCGGAACATGTACAAAACAAAATCAAGCGGCTAAAAGATAAATATTCTGCCGTTTATGATATGTTAAAATACAAGTGGATTTGGATGGAATGATGCAAATCAATGTGTGACTGTCGAAGCTTCCGAAATTTTGGAGGAGTATCTAAAGGTTAGATACTAGTAATTATAATGAGTTATGTATAATGTTTTTTGTTACTTTTCTTAATAATTGTTTGTTTGTTTTTTGTCGTAGAAACATCCCAACAAAAACTACATGCTAATAAGCCATTCCCGGCTTACGAGCGGTTGAAGTTGGTGTTTGGGAAAGATTGAGCTTCGCAAAACATGGCCGAATCAGCTACAGACGCACTAGATAATATGAATATAGAAAACAAAGAAGATTTGCAACTGAAGTTGATGTTCCTTCCTTTCTAAGTCCTTCAGGTACAACTTCTCATTTCTCAATTCCTCCAAGTGAAGGAGAAGGAACAGGTAAAAAGTGAAAAAGGACAACCAGGTTATATAAGCTAATGGAAGAAACCAAGAATGAAATCCATGAAGCAACCAATCAAATGAAAAAGTTGGTTTTGATCATCTAGGATTCTACAACCGAAATAGATGGCTTGAGCAATGAGTTGAGACGACTTGGGCTTGGTATGATTGAAATCATTCGAATGTAAGTACTTTGGGGACAAACCATCCCAATATCGTTTTTGGAAGAGTTTGGATGATTACATGAAAATAGTTTTTGTGAAGTCAATTTACGATGAAGACAAGTAATATGTCTTAGAAGATAGTGAAACAGTTGTTGCTTTGTTTGGTTTTTGGTACATTTGACATGTTTTAGGAGATGACGAAAACAATTGTTCTTTTTTGATATTTTTTGGTACATTTGACATGTAATCTTAGAATGTTAAACTTTTGACGACGTGACAAATGTTATTTACAGTTGTTGTGTTTAAACTTTTTAAATTATGTACATATTCAGAATTTGTGGTAAGACAAATGTTATTTACATATGATCTTGAAATGTTAAAAAAAGTATTGATATCATAGATTAAATAATTTAAATATATTTTGGTTGATTTGTTGTCATTTACAATCATTATATGATATAAAATAACATTAAATAACATTTAGAAATAATATGATCATTTTAATAATCTTGTCCTGTCTCATCCGGTCAACATATCAAAAACTATTTTAATGGACATTTGTTAACAGAACTAAAGGGGCTATTTTTATAACGAAATACAAACCAATATTCAAGTTTAAGGACTTGAAAAATACACAATTGACAGCCAACGTTTACACCAATCTTTTTAGCTTCATCAGGAGGGTTTAAGCGTTAGGGTTCTTCCAACCATCGCCATGACGCTATCTCGCTTAATCCTCCGTTCCCTCCGCCGTCCCACAGCCGCTGCCTTCCACCACCTCCTCCCATCTCCACCGACAAACCCTACCTTTCTAATCCCTATTAGATCTTTCGCCTTTTCTTCAGCAGAGGAAGCAGCAGCCGAACGCCGCCGTCGCAAACGCCGCCTCCGCATCGAACCCCCACTCCACGCCCTGCAACGTGATCCCAACGCCCCACGCCCAAGACGTGACCCTAACCAACCTGACACTACATCTGCGCTGGTTGGACCTCGACTCAGTCTCCACAACCGCGTTCAATCGTTAATCCGAGCCGGAGACCTCGACAATGCCTCCGTCGTTGCTCGACAATCTGTTTTCTCCAGCACTCGTCCCACCGTCTTCACCTGCAACGCTATCATCGGCTCTATGTATCGTGCGAAGCGGTATTTGGACGCCATAGCTCTTTTTACCTACTTTTTCAAGCAATCTAACATAGTTCCTAATGTTGTTTCTTACAATTTCTTGATTATCTCTCACTGTGAAAACGGAGAAGTTGATAAAGCTCTAGAAGTCTACGAACATATAAAGGAGAATGCCCCCTTTAGCCCATCTGCAGTTACTTTTCGCCATTTAACCAAGGGTTTGATTGATGCCGGACGAATTGACGAAGCAGTGAACTTGCTATGGAAAATGGTGGGCGATGGCCACGGTGCTGACTCTCATGTTTTCAATAATATCATATCTGGATTTCTTAATCTGGATAATCTAGAGAAAGCCAATGAATTTTTTGATGAGCTTAAGGGTAGGTGCATGGTTTATGATGGTATTGTTAATGCCACTTTTATGGAGTGGTTCTTCACTAAAGGTAGGCCAAAAGAAGCTATGGAGTCTTACAAATCTTTGTTGGATAAGGAATTTAAGATGGTTCCTGCTACATGCAATGTGCTTTTAGAGGTTCTGCTTAAATGGGGCAAGAAAGCCGAGGCTGAGGCTTTGTTCGATAGCATGTTGGATAGGCACACCCCACCTGTTGTCCAAGCTGTGAATTCCGATACTTTTAATCTAATGGTAAACGAATGTTTTAAGATGGAGAAGGGGTCAGAGGCATATAGTGTTTTTAAGAAGGCGGGTAAGGCTCCCAAGTCCAAGCCTTTTGCAATGGATACAGCGGGTTTCAATAATATGATCGCACGGTACTGTGAGACTGATATGGTAGATGATGCTGAGAAAATGTTTGTGGAACTGTGTGGCAAGTCGTTATCACCTGATGTCAACACTTATAGGACCTTGATTGATGCTTATTTTAAGGTAGGAAGAATTGATGATGCTATGGAGAAGTATATCAAGATGGTGGATACTGGCTTGAGAGTGATTCCCACTTATGCCAACAAATGGTTCTCTGAATTAATTGAGAACGGAAAGATTGTGGAGTGCGAGCCAATTTTGACTAAAATGGCGGAAAGAGACCCGAAACCAGATGCTACTACCTATGATATTGTGATCAGGGCGCTTTGCGGAGCTTCTAATTATGACACAAGTTTGTTTTTGTTACAACAAATGGTCAGGTATGGTGTTGGTGTAGCCCCTGTACTTAAGGAGCATGTGTTAGAGGTCTTTGATAAGGTAGGGCGCAGGGAAGAGATTGATCGACTTCTAAACGCCAGATGGCCAGGTTATACTGCAAATAGCCCACCCTATGGAAATGCACAACAGCATGGTGGTGGAAATCCAAATGGATATCGACAGCAGACTGAAAGTATACCTCATGGCAATGTGAATGGGTTTGGACAGAGGCATCAGTATGGAAATGGACAGCAAAACAATAACGGAAACGATTATGTGAATAGACAGCAATACAACATTAGGAATACACAGCAGTATGATAATGGAAGCAATAGTGGAAGTGGACATCAGTACAACACCGGAAGCTATAATGGAAATGAACCACAGTATGGTAATAGAAGCTATAATACGAATGGGCAGCAATACAACAATGGAAGCTGGAATGGGAATGGGCAGCAGTATAACAGTGGAAGCTATAATGCCAATGGACAACAATACAACAGTGGAAGCTATAATGGCAATGGACAGCAATACAACAGTGGAAACTATAGTGGCAATGGGCAACAGTACGCAAGTGGAAACCATAATGGCAATGGGCAGCAGTTTGGAACTAACTTGCAGAACGGAGGTGGACTACACCATGGAAATTGGCAGCAGAACGGAAATGGAATGCAGAATGGAAGCGAGCAGCAGCATGTAAATGGGGAGCAAGGATACGAGCAGCCTCAAGCTGGTTCTGCAGCAGCTTAGGTAGGGCATTGCGGCTAGTAACTACGTTGCAAGGTATTTATTCCATACTTCCAGTTCTTGGAATAGGTAAAGAAAAAGGCAACCAGATTATATTTTGCAAGAAATGCTTGTCTCACCTTCTACAACCATGAGGTGTTTTTCTTGTGAACCATTTCTTGGTTTATGGTATCCGTTGAACTGTTGGTTTGGAGTTTACTTGTATGTAATTTATCTAAATGCCATTCAGTTATCTTTCTTTTGTTATAGTTATAGCACAACATTGAGGTTATAATGATAAATTATTATGAAAATTTCAGTTAAGTTGATGAAGCAAAACTTGGATGTTCCCATGGGAAATAGCATGTTGTGGAACTGTCAATGAGCATATTTCTTTGCTGCTATTCGTTATCGTTTATCTTTTGATGACTGTCGTTTATCTTAGCTGCTATCCACTCGATAGACAATGTTTAGGTTCCGAGTGTAATGTATATATTATGGTGGTGGTGGTGGTTCGTAGGTTTACAACCTTCTATGCTTCTATCAATGCGATTTTCATAACCAGTTGAGAGTCCATCTAAATCACTATAAGGATGTACTTGGTAGCCCTACATTTTACAATGAATAAACGAGGAGCGGATAGGTCTAAGTGGCTATTTGGCAGTTGCTGAATGATTTGGTGCAGAATGATTAAGAGGCTTTCATGGTATAGTGCAAAATGAAATTTAATTGTCTGGTAATTGTTTACAATGAAATTATAGCGTTGAATGGTTATGAGAGGCTCATGATACAAAATCATTCATAAGGTTTTGAAACCATTAAGAGGCAGACTTTTTTTAGGCCAAACAAGATTCACCTCTTAACTATTCAGAGACCATCTCTTTATGTAACTATTAAGAGGTAAACAAACAACCCCTAAATAGGATAATTTTATGATCTTTTTTTTTCCCACGAAATACCCTTAAACAGAAGACAGTAATATCTGACTTAATAATCATAGATTAATTTAAGAGTTAAGTTAAGAATGTGAGAACAAAATCTTCATTTACATTCAGCTACCTTTATTTACTTATTTCTATCATCATGACCTTAAATATATGTAGAAGTTTGTGTAAGTGACATAAAAGTACATATAAATGTAAAGAAAAGGGAAGATCAATGTAGCTAAAGGTATCGAAAGTAGTTGAAGGTTCTTATAAACAAAGCGTAGCTTCTTACAAGAACAAACATTGTAGAAAGTTCTGACTAAGATCGACCTCCATTCCAGAAATAATTGCCTTTTTTATATCTATTTTCCAACTTTTATCTAATAATAATGCTAATAATTTTGTTTCTAAATTTTTGCGTCCTAATGCTTTAACTCCTATAATTACTAAGGGGCTGTTTGGTAACCTCTTAATGGTGACATTAAGAGGGAACCTCTTAATCGGTAAGAGGTTGGAGTTGTTTGGCATACAAAATTGAACCTCTTAATGGTGACAATCATCTCTTAACGATTTAGCATGTAAGGGCTTGCCTAATGGTTCAGATCCATTTTCTTCCTTATTTGCCCTTCACCTTCCCACAGCGTTTCTTCCTTCACACCTTCCCTTCTTCTCTCTTTTTTAATTCCTCCACCTCACCACGTTCATTCATCCTCTTCTGCAAYTTATATTATTAAATCCCTTTTGACTTCCCCTTCTCATCATCTCCTAATCTCCACCATTTTCTTCCCCTTTCCATCCACACAAATGGGTCTATGTAGTAGCAAAACCAAATGGGCATCTCCGGAGCCGGCTGTCCAAATTCCGGTCAAAGGTATGCCTGCAAATCGACATTGAAAAAGAAACTGATCACAAACGTAAACTCCATTRTGGTATCGAATAAGCTTCTCTGTGACAAAAATGGGTTTGGAAATCAAGAAAAAATTTCAAGATTTACAGCTACTGCAATGATGAACATTCATCATTCTCTTGTTAGATGGGGTTTAGAGAGAAAATTAAAGTTTCTATTTTTATTACCTCAAAATGCTTACATAATTCGTACCTTAAACATGTTTTTGCGTTTTTGGAATAGATGAACTTGACTTGCACCATGAAATTACCTGATTTCTCCGACGAAACTTTMGGAATTTTGAGTTCTCGGTTGACATCCATGGCGGATTTGGGTGTTTTCCGGTCAAAAACATTGAATATTTTGTCTTCTGTGTCGAAACCCACATCGAGAAGATGACATGGATGGAAGGTCTTTTGGTATTCAAAACAGAGGGTTAAAATGGTAATTTATT